TATACATAATAAATAAATAGAAAAAAAATTAAATCTTATTATATTTGTGTGTGTGTGTGTGTGTGTGTGTGTGTGTGTGTGTGTGTGTGCCTGCTCACATGCACACATGTGTATCAGAAGACAATTTTCAGGAGTCAGTTCTCTCCTTCCGATACATGGATTCCGGGGATTGAACTCATGTTATTGGGTTTGGCAGGTGTCTTTAACCTCTGAGCCGTCTCACAGACCCCTTGTTTTTGTTTGTATTTCAAGACTGAGTCAGGCTGGCTGGCCGGCCTGATAGTCAACATGTAAGCCCTCCTTGCCTTGATCTTCTTGCCTCTGACTCCCAAGTGCTGGAACAACAGGCGTGCATCACCTTGCCCAGCCTAACGATCCCTTCTGACATTGTTGACTTGGTCATCATTCCTTACCCAGCATGGACCAGCATGTATGAGATAAACCTCCAGGCCTCTTCCCTCTTATCGGGGCGGTAAGTAAAGGGACTTTCCAAGATCCCCGTGTCCAGGGTGATCCACTGCTTCTGAGGCTTCCACACAGCGTAATAAATAAACACGGCCAGCTGTCAAGGGGGAGTGATCATGCCGGTTAATCAAGCTTCCTCTGGAGGCGGGCCCCATTCAAACCCACAGGCAGTAATTGTGGCTGAGTGATTAGCTCAGCAGACGTTGGGGTTAAATTTCTCCACCATCCCCCACAGCGCTCATGCTTCCTCACGATGAGGAGCCGTGTTAGGCCAAATGTAACAAAGACCTTCTGAGCCCCCTTCCCCTTGCCTTCCTGGCTCTCTGCTGTCTGTCACCACGTTCTCTAGCACCCTCCCAGAACACATAACCCGAGTCCCTCACCTTCACTCGGACTCCACAGCCCAGAAACCTGGCAGGTGGTCTAACGAAATGATGATCAGAGCCCCAGTGACGTCACGTGAGATCCTGTGTCCCAGTGATGTCATGTGAGGTCCTGTGTCCCAGTGAGGTCCTGTGTCCGTGATGTCTGTCATGTGAGGTCCTATGTCCCAGTGATGCCTGTCATATGAGGTCCTGTGTCCCAGTGATGTCATGTGAGGTCCTGTGTCCCAGTGATGTCACGTGAGGTCCTACCTTGGGATGTGGTGGGAAGGGCACTTTACCTCTAAGTCATTCTTCCTCCACACTCCCAACTCTAGGCTAACTATGTAAAAAAAACTCTGACAGCCCCAGACAAGGACACTCTACAAGGTACCTGGCCAGTATACTTCATCTTTATCAAGGTCATGAAAGACTATTGAGAAGTTGTCATGAATCAGAGGAGCCAGGGGAAGCAGGATAATTTAATGCAGTGTGAAACCCTGTATCAGAACCCTGTATCGGAAGGGACCAGAGGATAAGAAAGAGGACATTAGTGAGAAAATCAATCAAATCTAAGAAAAGCCTGGAGTTTAGTGAATGGTGCAGGTTCAGCCTCCTGAATATAAAATATCAAATCCAAAAATGCTCCAGATTTTGAAGTTTGTGAACACCAATATAACACGTGAAAAATTTTAGAAATCTGGCTCAGTAGTTGAGTGATCTTCTAGAGGACCCAGGTTCAATTCCCATAACCCACACAGTGGCTCACAACCGTCTCTAACTCCCGTTACAGGGAATCTACTGCCTTCTTCTGGCCTCTGAGGGCATGAGGCACACATGTGGTACACAGATACATAGGCAGGCAGAACGCCATACACATAAAGTAATAAAAATTTAGAGAACAAGTTTTAGGTTTATGTGTATGTGCTGATCTACATGTGTGTGCACACAGCTGGAGGCCAGAGGCCAACATCGGGTGTCATGCCTCAGGTGCCAAACACTTTGCTTTTTGAGACTGAGTCCCTCATTGACCTGGAGCTCAAACAGCAGGCTGGGCTGGCTGGCTAGCAAACCTCGGGAATCCATCCATTTGTCTCCAGCTCCCTAACTGCCGGGATTCAAGCACATGCCACAACTCCTGGCTCTTTTACATGGGCTCTGAGGTTGATCCTCAGGTTGATGATCATCCTGAGGTTCATGTCCACATGCCTGCATGGGAAGTATTTTACAGACTGAATTATCTCCCCAGATCCAAAGTTTTAGATTTGGGAGTACTGAAGTCTATGAATATGCCAAAATTGGAGCTGGAAAGATGACTCAGCCATTAAGAACACGTACACTGCACCTGCAGAGGATCTGAGTTCAGTTCACTGCATCCATATCTAACAGCTTAAGACTGCTTGTAACTCCAGCTCCAGGGAATCTAGTGCCCTCTTCTGGCATCCAAGGGTACATGCACTCACATGCAACCTTTCCTACTCCCACACACATATACACATTTTTAAAAATTATTCGGAAATATTCTGAAACATGGGTGCTGAAGAGATAACTCGGTAAGTAAAAGCATACACTGCTCTTCCAGAGTACCAGAGTTCAATTCCCAGTACACATATCAGGTGGCTCACAACCACTTGTAACTCCAGCGACAGGAGGGATCCATAACTCTCTGGCTTCTGCAGGCACCTGTGCTTACACACAATTAAATGATTAAAAAGAGAAAGAAAGAAATTATTCAGAAACACAAACCATTTCTGGTGTAAGCATTTCTGTTAAGAGATACTCAGCCACTGGACAGTGATGGCACATGCCTTTAATCCCAGCACTTGTTATAAGAGCTAGCTAGACTAGCCTAAACTAAGGCCGAGCATTCATAATTGTTAATAAGTCTCCTTGTCTTGATTTGGGAGCTGGTTGGTAATCCAAAAAAGCCTGCTACAGGAAAAGCTTGCACATTTGCCATAAAAACGTTTGGTTTCTGCAATGGTTAATTTTATGTTCAATTTGACAAGGTTCATACAGACTCAGATATATCTTCAAATATCATTCCAGATGTTTCTGTGACTTTTTTGCTTTTTTGTATATTGGCTACCCATTAACTAGTTAGTTAGCTAGCTAGTAAATTATATGATTGCAGAATCTCACTAAATAGCCTAGGCTAGCCTCAAACTTACTTGTAGCCCAGGCTCTCTTAAACTCAAGATCCTTCTGCTTCAGTTTCCAAGTTCTGAGATTACAAGCTCATGCCCCCATGCCCACCTGAGGTCATTTCTTGAGATGAGATTAGGATGTAATTTAGTACCCCTTTCCCTCCATCTTGTATATGAGTTTCAGATGAAAGTATTAATAGAAAAAGACTATTTCATGAGGAAAAGAATTACACTAGCAAAGGGCCTTGGACTCGGCACAAAACCCTTAGTGAGTCTCCAGCTTGCCCTGAAGATTGGAGAGCTGAACCCTCCCTCACTTTTCGGCTCCCTCCCTCATACCCTGCTGATTCTGTTCTGCTGGGGAACCCTGACTACTACATTCCCTTACACCAAAGCTGGAGCATTAGTGGGAATTAAGAGGATTATACCAGGGACACCCTCTGGGCAGTCATCTCCACCAACTCTTTCATAAGACAGCAGTCTAGGAGAAAAACCCTGGTGTCACAAAGGGCCTGGCCCTTCCAAGTCACTAAGACACACCCTTGGGTGACTCATCCCCACCTCTCTGAGCTTTGCCCTCTTTCTGGAAACCAAGAAAGCTGAGCAGGTCATAGACTGAGAACATATCCCATCAGCCCAAAGTAGACACCCACAGCAGATGCCACAGTTTTCCTCTGAAAGCTCAGGCAGCTGGTGACTGTTCTAAATATATACCCCAGGCCGACCTGACCGACCAGTCTATTTTGTTTCATGAAACAAAGCCAATTTGCAAGCTGAACGTGGTAGTATATGCCTGTAATCCCAACAGCTGGTTGGTTGTTACAAAAGGATTATAATGAGTTTATGGCCAGCCAGCCTAAGCTACATAGTGAGTTGGAGGCCAGCCTGGGCTACAATGCCAGATCCCACCACAAGAAAAAAAAAAAAAAAAAGCTAATTTGCAGGCCCAAAGTTCCCTGGCTTCTAAAGACCCCACCAGCTAAAATGAAATGAAGCCAGTAGAGTCAGTGAACGATAGGCAGTGGATTTTCATCATGGATGAAACCAACCCCTGGGGTGGCCGCGACTGAGCAGATCAGCTCCGGGAGCAGGGAGTGGGCAGAGTGTGTGCAGCCCTGGTCCCTCTATGCTCTCCTCCTGCATGGTTTCTCCTCTAGATGTCGGTTTCGTCCCCACTCTGTTTGCAGCTTCCAGTCTGGACTGACATGAGGGCCCCTCTCATGGTGGTGTTTACCTCAGCCAGGCTGATGGAGATGATGAACAGCGGTGGCGGGAGGCAGTTGGCTCTCTCCAAGTATGTTCTGCGGACGGGCTCAGGAAGCATCCACTTTGAGACGATCCTGTGGACCTTTCTGCTCCTGGGCAAGTCTTTGCCTTCCCTGTCCTCTCTCACTTTCTCCTCCTCCAGCTCTTCCTTCCCCTCTCTCTCCATGTTCAGATTCACGCTCTCCATCTCCACATCGTGAGCAGCAGCCATGGCCTGGTCCTCCCTCCACCTGAAACAGATATGAATGTCAGGAAAACAAGATGAACCTTTGGTCTGCAGAATGTGGCTCTTTCCTGGGCTCTTTGAAAAACTGTTTGTTTTCCTGATCCTTCCTGTGTGGGTAGCTGGAAAGAAGGCAGCTAAAGATGGTCAAAATGTTCTAAACCTCCTAAGGGGCCCCAAATGACGTTTTCACCATATTGTTTTGTAAATGTTTTAAAATACAGGGATTTTTTTTTTTTGGTTGGTTTTTCGAGACAGGGTTTCTCTGTGTAGCTTTGTGCCTTTCTTGGAACTCGCTTTGGAGACCAGGCTAGCCTCGAACTCACAGATCCGCCTGCCTCTGCCTCCTGAGTGCTGGGATTAAAGGC